GTATATTTACCTGTATGGAGATATTTATTACCTTTTTCTCCTGATGGGGTGTACGTACACCCCAAGAGGAGATGTCCACCACATATGACGAATGCACAGTTCTTACAATTCTTACATTATACACCATCTATTACTGTATGTTTTGGGGGTATAGGGGGGACAGGGGGCCCCCAGGGTACTGGGGGGGGGCCCCATGATAATGGGGGCCCACAGGGTACTGGGTTCAGGGAAGGGGCCCATCATCGTAGAGGGAGGATAACACAACCACACCGTGGAGGTAATAATAGTTACTGCAGCAGCAGCTGCAGCAGCTGCAGCAGCAGCTGCAGCAGCTGTAGACAAAGAAGATCATCACCATCTATAGAACAACAGCAACAGCAACAGCAGCAGCAGCAGCAACAGCAGCAACAGCAGCACCATAAAGGAGGGGAGAAAAAAACACATAAAAGATCAAGACAAACTGCTGCTGCATTAAGGCAGCAACTGCTGCAGCAAGAACAGATGCAACGGCATGAACAGAAACAGCAGCAGCAGCAGCAACAGCAGCAGCAGCAGCAGCAGCAGCAGCAGCAGATATATGGTGACGACAGCAGGAGTCATAGGGAGGAAGAAACACCACGAGGTGTCTTGGCATCAAGGGCATGCAGGGATTCAACAGATACAGCAGCAGCAGCAGCAGCAACAGCAGGAGCAGCAGAATCAGGAGAAATAGTTGTTGTTCCTGATTCAGGTAAGAAAACAATCAATCTATGCATGCATGCATGCATATAGCAGCAAATTGGGGTGTATAGGCACCTGTGGTGTATGTGTGTGTGTATATATTTGCTGCTGTTATACAGAAGAAGAAAACTTCTCTGCTGCTGCTCCTGCTGCTGCAGCAGCAGCAGCAGCAAGAGAAAGAAGAAGAAGTTCTAAGAGTTTACGGCATTCATCTAGGGGATCGTCTATAACCACAGCAGCAGCAGCAGCAGCAGCAGCTGCTGCTGCTGCTGCAGCAGCAGCAGCAGCAGCACTTAAGCCATCTAGCTCACTACAAGATGTTTTATTTACAGGCAATAAAGAAATTAATTCTCCATGTAGGCATTTTCTTGTTACTAATAAGGAAGAAAAAGAAGAAAAAAAAGAAGAAAAAGAAGAAAAAGAATAAATAAAAGAAGAAAAAGGAATAAAAAAAGAAATAAAATAATAAAAAGGAATAAAAAAAGAAAAAAAAAGGGAAAAAAAGGAAGAAAAATAATAACTTTTATTTATTGTTGCAGATATGCTGCACCATGCATGCATGCATGCATGCATGCATGCATGCGTATATCTGCGTGCATGCATGCATGTATATAATCTGCATGCATGCATGCATCTCTCTGCATGCATGCAGCAAGAGAGAAGAGGGAGTATAATTATATAATTGTATATTTATATCTGTTGTTGTTATTTATGTCTTTATTAATGAAGAAAAAGCGCAGCGCATGCATGCAGACATACGCATGCATATATATATATATATATAAATATACATGCATGCATTTATGCATGCATGCATGCATAAATAAATGCATGCATGCATAAATGCATGCATAAATGTTGTCAGGTGTATATACACCGGGATGTTTTTCCTTTTGTTTATTCGCGGCGTAAAAAAGAAGAAAAAACTTTTATTTATTTCTTCCTTTTTATTTCTTTTTTATTTATTTTATTTATTTTATTTATTTATTTATTTATTTATTCTTTTTATTTATTTTTTATTTAATAGCCGCATAGATATAACTATTGACTTCCTTTTTATATATAATTTATATTATATATAAATATAAATATATTTATATAAATATAAATATATTTATTTATATTTATATTATATAAATATAAATTATATATATATA